CTGTCTCTCTCACCTATCTCTGTCTCTGTTTCTCCTGTCTCTCTGTCTCTCTCTTATCTTTCTCTCTCTCTCTGTCTCTCCACTCTCTTTGTCTCTGTCTCTCTGTTTTGCCTCTCTCTTTGTCTCTGTATCTTTCTCCTATATCTCTCTGTCTGTCTCTCTAGCTCTCTCTTTTTCCTATCTCTCTGTCTCTCTTTCTCTTATCTTTCTCTGTCTCTCTCTGTCTGTCTCTTCTATCTCTCTCTCTCTCTCCTCTCTCTTTGTCTCTGTCTCTCTTATCTCTGTCTTTCTGTCTCTATCTCTCTTTTTCCTATCTCTCTCTGTCTCTCTCATATGTCTCTGTCTATCTCTCACCTATCTCTGCCTCTGTCTCTGTATTTCTCTCCTCTCTCTCTGTCCTCCCTCTTCTCCATATGTGTATATATATATGTATATATATATATATATATATACACACACACACACAAACATATATATGCAAACATATGTATATGTGTATATATACGTTGTGTGTGTGTGTGTGTGTATATGTATACATGCATGTGTGAGCATGTAATGGGAAGGACGCAGCAGCAGATGCCATCCACAGCCCCAAGGAGGCACCAGTTTCTCTCCTGTCCTCCTTAAATCAGCTCAGGAAGAATACCTGGTACAGTGGGGAACTTGGATGCCTTGGTCTTCAGTTTGAATCTTGGTTCTGCTGCCTCGTACTTGTATGACCTTGGGCAGGTCTCTGGGCCTTGGAGCCTTCATTTGTTGAACCAGGTGGCCAACTAGGTCCTTTGAGCTCTGGATCAATCAAGCCATAAGCATTTATCAAGTGTCTACTATGTGCCAGACACCAGAGATAGATATGAAGGATGAGACCATTCCTACTCTCAGGGAATTTGTGTGCGATGAGCTTAGAGACCTTTGGTGTTTGAAAGCTGACCAGTCTGAGCTGCTGTTGCTGATCTGGTTGTCCTTTGGAGGCAGCGGAAGAGGGACAGATAGACAGACACTGCACATGGCAGAGGGGAGCTCATCAAAGTGTAACAAAGCAGCTACAGTAAGCCTGGAGGGTCTTTGCTCATGTTCCTTTAGGGAGCATATGTCTTCTGGGCTGTGCAGCTGAGCTGGACAGAGCTCTGAGCACAGAGGACATCAAGGGGCAATGGCGGTAACAAATGAAGGCCACAAGGTCAGTGCAGTGTCCTTCTCTTGGCTTCTCTTTCTTTCTTAGGGTCAGTCAGGCATCACAGGACCTAGGCACTAAGAAGCATCTGGGCGTTTACCCATACCCCCAAAGTCCAGCTCCAATGTAGAGTCAGCCCTACTGTCTTCTCACCAGTAGAGTAGTATCTAAGAGAAAGGGAAAGTCATAACTCTTAGCTGTTTCTGATGAGACTCATGAACTCTGATGAAATTGATGGGCTAAGACATTTGCATTATTCCATTCTTTCAAAACATCAATGCTATGGTCAAAGATATGGGCTCATAGGATTAGGGAATGGAAGCTTATTGTTAGAGGCTTATGTATTAGAGGCTGGAAGGGACCTTAGAATGACCTAGTTCCAGGCCTTTATTTTATAGATAGAGAAACTGAAGTTCAGAGGAGTTGAATGATTTGTCCAAGGTCACATAGATAGTAAGCTAACCCTCTATATCTGAACCTTGCATGAAAGGAGAGCTTGGTTTGATTCTTTCTTAATGTGTTTAGTGCTTCCAGAATGACTCAGAACTACAAGAATACATTCATTCAACAAGCATTTTTAAAGTACCTCCTATATGTAGCGCACTGTGCTAGACTCTGCAGGGTGAAGATAAGGCACAATCTCTGCAGTCTTTGAGGAGGTTACAATCTAGTAAGAGAAATAAAACACATATGCAGATCAGTTAGTGAGTGATAAGCACCTAAGGTAGATAGAGGGTGGAATCTGGAATCTGGAAGATATGGGTTTAAGTCCCACCAAACATCAATCAACAAACATTTATTAATTGCCTACTGTGTGCCAAGTACTGTTCTGAGTGCTGAAGATACAAGACAGTAATGAAATACTCCTTGTTCTTGTCATGATTAAAGTTAAGGTAGCACAAAGTTCTGAGCACATTCGATTTATTGGTAAGGCTAGCAATTACCAATAAAAGGGCTCTCCCAGTTCCTCCAAAAACATCGAGTAAAGGCAGACAGATAATTTTTACAGACAAAAAGAGGAGCATCCAGAAGGCAGCATCATAGATGGGGAAAACAATATGATTGATTACAAAGTTTGGAGCATCACAGGCATAGGGGACAATATAATTAGCTGGAAATTGGAAATTCGGGTAACATCTTGTCTCTATGGAAAGCTTACTGGTGGTGTCCACCTGTATGGCTAGTTAGCATCACAGAGATAACAAACCGGACTTTCTTGGCACAGTCAGTGTTGCAGAGATAAAAGACCAGACTCCCTGGTATCCACCTGCATCCTCCAAGAATAACAGATTTCCATGACACAAGAATAGAGCAATGATTATTAGGCAAGCTGAACTTCTGAACTTAACTCAGAGATGAAGAAAGGTGATTTAGTGTACAAAATGGCAATGGTGATACAGAACAGAATCAATGACAAAAATGGAGACAACGTCAATTTGATTTTCTTAATCTCAAGTTGTTGTGTGCTTCTCTGAAATTCATTTAATCTCCTGGTGCCCTAGACAATGTTCTTAGACTATAAATTGCAGAGCAGGTGCTAATTTTGTGTTGGTAGAGGGGAAGTTGTCCAGAGCTTCTTAAACTGTGGGTCACATTCCCATATGGGGTCACATAACTGAATGTGGAGGTCACGAAAAATCTGGCAACAGTAAAAAGTTTCTGAATGCTCAACGACCAAAAATTAATTCAAAATCAAACACATACTGAATCCGAAGTGTCTCTGGCAGTGCTTGCCCGTGTTGCATTGCGTAAACTTCACTGCAGCCTTGGCTCTGAATACAGCATCGATGATTATAAAATCAAAATATTAATCAACTCGGAAAAACATTGACGATGTTCTATGTGCTGCAGTATCAAATATTCCACCAAGATTTAATTCTTTTTTTTTTAGGCAATTGGGGTTAAGCGACTTGCCCAGGGTCACACAGCTAGGAAGTGTCAAATGTTTGGTCTGAGGCCAGATTTGAACTCAGGCACTCCTGACTTCAGGGCCAGTGGTCTATTCACTGCGCCACCTAACTGCCCTGATTTAATTCTTTATGTAAAAAAAAAAAGCATATCCATCTCATTAGTATGAAAATTTGCTTTCATCTTTAATAAATGGTAAAATTATATGTATACCAAAGAATTCTTTTAAAATAAATTTCTTTGTGATTTGTTATCAGCAAATGTTTGATTTGTATATCTATTTTATATAGCTATATACTCAGGTAAAAATTTCTCAGGTGAAAAGGGATCACGAGTGGAAAAAATCTAAGAAGTCCTGATCTATGCCAAGAAATCAAAGATCTACTTCAAAAAAAAAAAGTGCCTGAGGAGTATACAGTGCTGTAAGATCATATAAGAGAGAATTCACTGCCTGGGAGAGACTCTTCAGGGAACGCTTCCTGGGAAGAGGGGCACGTGAGCTGGCTTATAACCCTGTTACCTCTATCCATCACAGCTATAGCACAGTCTTACACAAAAGCAAAGTATGTGGTATGATTTTAAGGATTTCCAAAATGCCCCCAGAATATCTCCCCAGATGGGCTGCAACAGTGCCTGAAATTCAACTATTGGTGATTCCATCCTTTTTTATGGTGGAATACCTATCTGTTCACACATCATATGCCAGCTGACTATACTTTCAGGGGAGAGACTTTTCCTAATTGTATCCCCAGCATCTAACATAGTGATAGCACATAGTAGGGGATTTATAAGTGTTTCTTGATTTGAATTGACGTGAGCTTTTCATTTCTAAGAGTCTGATTTTTAATTGTGAGCACCCTCTGTGGAGGTACCATGTTAAATTATTATTGATGATAACTATCAAAAATAATAATGTGATTATAACAATATATTATATAATCACATTAATATTATAATGAAAATTGTTATTATATTAAGATATACTATATAATGATATTAAGATTATAACACATGTGATATGCATAACATGTAATTATATGTGACAGTGCTTTACATATATTGTCTCATGTAAGTCTTACAACAAAGCAGTATTTCAGACATTATAATCCCCATTTTAACAGATCAAGAAACTATGACTTGGAGAGGTTAATTGTTTTTATTCATGGTCACATGACAAGGTGAGTGTTAGAGGTGAGATTTGAATCCAGGTCTTCCTGACTCCAAGTCCTGCTCCCTGTCCCCTACATCTTGCTCTCTCCCATCGTGGTGATAGTTAAATCGATCAGAATGCTTTCCAACATGACGGCTATCTGAGAAGGAACGGGACATTTTGATAGGTGATCTGGTCAAGGTATGAAGTCTATGAGTGGGATAAGCAATCAGCATCTGGAGGAGAGTTAGGTAGCTGAGGAAGAGGATACTAAGAGGAAGAAGAAAGCATCTGAAAGGAAAGAAGACATTCCCTCCTTCCCATTTTGCCCAAGTCTGGCCTCATAAGACACTATACCTTGTTGATCTGACTAAGGCTATGCCTTTCCCATCTTCCTCCTCCCACTCTCAAATCTGGCTTGTATCATACCTGAGCTTGCCTCATGTGCGGCCTTATTTCCCTGATAAAAGGTAAACTCCTACATGGCAAGAATGATTGGAGTTTTTTTCTTTGTGTTCCTAATTCTTATCACAATTCCTGATATATTAATAGATGCTTAGTAAAGTCTTATTGATCGATAATATGCATAATATTAATAATAGATAATAGCTAATAATAGCTGATATATATATATATATATAGCTTTTAAGAATCGTAAAGAGATTTGTATGTATATATACATAGATGTGTGTGTGTGCATGTGTGTGTAATTTCATTTGCTTCTCCTAATAACCTTATAAGGTGGAAGGTATTATTCACCCCCCCCAAAATATTGAAGAGTTTTAGTCATACAATAGAAGTCAGAGAAAGGACTTGTCTCAGCATCCTTAGATAATTGAGATCCCCCTCCCCCCCAGGGACTTCCAGGAATGACCCAGGTGGGGAATCGCACCCCAGAGAGGAGACAGGGTTCATTCCTCCACATCGGTGCTCCTCACCATATTGCATTTTTGTTGACAGGTCTCCTCCAGTTGCCACTGCACCCCATTGCTTCCCCATCACTCCATTCAAGGTAAGAGTCATGGGTCTTCTCAATGCCATCACTACCCTTGGTTCCCAGCAAGTGTTGTAGATCTCACTTCTCTCTTGGGTAGGCTCTGTAATACTGTTCCCCACTGCTTCGTCACTGCTTCTTGCTGTTTGGGTCTCCTTTGACAGATGGGTAAGAGCTATTATTATCCCCATTTTACAGATCAGAAAACTGATTCTGTGGAAGGGTAAATGACCCACTTCTTCCTAGGTTTCTAATGCACTTTAGGATGCGTCAGAGGTGTCAAGCTCTCCTGCCAGGCACAAGCAACCCATAAACTCCAGAGTATGGCTAAGCCAGATTAAAATGTAGTTGGGAAAACTTATAATTGCATGTCAGACTAATTAGGCTATTTTCTCCATTTGGTCAGGGAGAAGTAGGAGTTAGGGTGGAGAAGGAATGGCAGTTGGAAGGCTAAGTGAACCATTTTCTTCTGTAATGTTGAGAAACAACCCCTTTGCTGAATTTTACGGGTTCTGTCAATTGTGTGAGTTAAATGTTTAGTGATGTTCTCAAATGAAAATAGGCTGAACTTTTGTGCAGTACAAAATCGTTTTGCTTTGTGATCCCAAGAGGAAAATGTGATCTTCTCTCCTACCTGCTGCTTTCTGTTGTTTCAGACTTCCTTCTTCCTCTGCTACCAAAATAGGACAGTCACAGAAAGCAAACTACACGCTTAGGAATTTTCCTTATGCTAATAGGACAGGCAATCCACACATGGTCTATACAAGGCAAAGGAACAAGTCTGGTAAACCTGGGCTGCTGCCTCAATACTTGGATTAGCCTCTTAAAAACCTGATGATACTTTTCCTGATCATGATGGAACTGTGTGTATCCTGTAGCTTATGATAGGATTTGCACTTGAAATTCCTCTTGTTTTCGATTTTGCAGGACCAGCTACAATAATGAATGTGTACTTTATGACTTTGTAGCTGATATGCAAATCAAAATCAGATTGGCAGCTTCTTGACTTTGGGTTTTAGACATAGTTTTACCCCAGAAGTTGTGAGCATGCTATGAACATCTATTATCTTACATTCTTTAATTCACCAGTATTAATACAAATTATGTTTTGTGTTCCATGGTACTTTTTATCCAATGTAATCAAATGCTGTGATGTTTCGCTTTTGTAGTCCTGTGCTTCGTTACTATAACATTTAAGTTTGTTTTTATGAAGCGGATGACTTTGGACTAATATGAGGCAGATGGTATGATCTTTAAGACTGACATACTGCATAAGATTTCGAATTAGAATAAACTTTTAACAAATGGACCATTGATGCAATTTGGAATTCACACGCACAAAAACAAACAAACAAATAAATAAATAAATGAAATATAAAATAAAAAAGAATTCACACACACAATGTCAAACATCAGTCTTATGTTTATAGTTTCAATTCCAAAAGTAGCAAACTTCATAAACAGTCACTTTCAAGTTGCCCTTGCTAAAAACAGTCTAATGTAGTAGTTAATGATATGCCTTCACAAAACTTGTACCCTCTGCTTGAGTCAGTGGTTAAGATATTTTCTTAGGGGAACCAGGAGAGCTTTTTGCATGACTAGTTGGGTTTTTTTCTCTTACATTGCCATTTTTTGTAACTGACATGAACAGATCAGTTGGAGCATAATATTCTAGTGCTTTTAGTCTGAATTTCTTTTGGGGGAGAATGGTAATATTATTTCACCAGATGCATAAGGAATTGTTGGTGAGAGTTGGGACAAATAACATTTTAAATGAAGGAACTGTGTATTAACATGTTAACAACAATTCATAAATATACACTTTTTATGACATTTTGAAAATCTATTTATAGGTATGGAACAATGGAGTTTGTTAAACACATTTATACTTGCTGAAATTTCTTTCATTGTTATTAGTAGAAATTTTATTGGTTCAATAAAATTGGCAAAACCAAAAAAATATATAGTTGGGAAATATTTAACAAAATAAATAGAAATATAGTACAACATAGATAATATTAATTTGTGGGTTTTTAAAGTCAATATGGGCCCTCAGAGATCCATTTTTATTTGAGTTTGACAGTTCTGCACTAGACCACCCAGCAAGATATCTCATTTTATCAACTGAAAAGAACATTCTGAGAAAGTCCCTAGTTCTCACTAGATTGCCAAAGGTGTGCGAGACGTACAAAAACATTAAGAATCTCTGATCTAATTAAGCCAACTCATTTTGTTTTTATGTTTTTATTATTAATTTAATGATAAACTAACATGGACATTTCAATACAGAAAATAAAAGAAAAGATATATGTGTGAAACCAGCAAAAAAAAAATCTCATTTAAGGGGTGTTTATGTAAGGACAAAAGAAGAATCCTGGAAGCCTGAGTTATAATGTGCTTCCAGGCTTCTGGGAAATAATTACAGGACAACAGGCAGACAGAAGCTTCCAAAGACCTTGAGTTAGCTGTCTAGAAGGGGTAGTATGACCTACAATCTGTTCCGCAACGCTGCTCAGTCGGCCAAGCACTATGGATTGATAATTGGACTGGAGAAGAGGAAACTGAGGCAAACAGGGTTAAGTGACTCGCCCAGGGTCACACAGATAGTAAGTCTCTGAGGCCAGATTTAAACTCAGGAAGATGAGTCTTCCTGACTCCAGGCCTGGCACTCTATCCATTACGCTACCTACTTGCCCTTTAAATAAACACTTAACATATGTGGTCAAGGGTGGCACGGAACATTCAGAGAGCTGGCCTGCCCTCCTTTTGGCTGAATATGAGAGCTAGCTCAGGGTTTGGGCACTTTAGGCATGACACACATACTCTTTGGCTATTCCTAGCTGGTCATGTATGAGTCAGTGCTGAAGGTCTCAGATGTTTTGAAATGAAGAAACATTCCCCTTATTGACCACTGAGTAGGAAGAGCCAATGACTCTGTGAAAGGGAGGGAAGGCACATATTGCCAGGCTACCATTATGCTCCAAAGACAGGAGCCTTTAGCTCTTCCCACTAGAGTTTGAGGGAGGGGACCGTCATCTCGCTTTTTCCCTCACCCCAGCTACCATGCAGCCATAGGCATGTGGCAGCTAACACACATGTCCTACCCAGGGAAACCTGAACCTGGGTCTCTGAACTCTGGCTGTCTCTGCTGTTTTGCATTTCTTTTCTTAGTATAGTTGACAAAACATTAACCTCGAAATAGATGTGTCCAGACTTGGAGGTGACTGTGAGTTCTAGATGTTCATTGGTTCTAGATCCACTGGGTAGAGATGACTAAGCTCTGGTCTGACTTCTCTTCAACAGAGAAGAGAGTCATCAAGAAAAGGATCCCAAACCCAGCCTTAGAGAATGGTAAATGGACCTGAACTTTGAGAGGTCAGTGCAGAGCTCAGGTGAAATGTAACAATACCTATTCATTAATCTTGCAAACTGCTTTATGTTCTGATGATGCTTAAATCTCAACCTTCTGGGAGGGTCTAACCATAGTTATAATTTTTTTTTAAAGTGTAACAGGGATCACGCTGATCCTGAAGGCCAGGTGTGTTACATTTTACTCCTCTTCCCAATGTTCTCCTGTACCTTTAAGAGATTAAAGAGTCTCATTTCTCTACCATTGGCTCAAGCTCCCCATCAATCACCAGTTTTAGAGGTCCAAGCACCCCAGCTCTACTTAACTACTTAATGATCAGATTTGCTTAAACAAAGGGATATTCACTTCACAGGTGTAACAAGAACAAACATATAAACATTTTTCCTGGTTCCTTGGGGAAATTATCTTCCTTACCTTCACTCAGTAGGGCAGTGAGGTGGTGCAGTGGATAGAGTGTCAGGCCTGGAGTCAAGAAAATTTCCTGAGTTCAAATCCAACCTCAGACACTTACTAGCTGTGTGACCCTGGGCAAGTCTCTTACCTCTGTTTGACTCAGTTTCCTCATCTGTAAAGTGAGCTGGAGAAGGAAATGGCAAACCACTCCAGTATCTCTGCCAAGAAAACCCCAAATGGGGTCACGGAGTTGGATGTGACTGAACATCCCCCATTTGTAAGCACTGGACTAATGATAAGGGTTAGGTTCATAGCTAAACCAAATTCCTACATAGTATTAGTCCCACCAAATTCCAAGTTCAAAGCACTTCTTGCCCTTGAGTTCTGGGAGCCTGGCTTCTCAGAACTTCCCTGCTGGACTGGCTGCTTCATCCAGCTTGGAATCCTGGGTCCCAAGGTCCATGAGGTTCAAGCTCCTGGATCTGGGACTTCACTACCTGCCCTTAGAATTGAAAAGGACAAACAAAACAAGACCTGAACCCTGAGCCCATTTCTCCGGCCATGGGGCCTACAAGGAGGGGGATGGTGGCCCTTCCCTATTCACCTTACTTGAATGGTGGTCCTACTATGAATGAATAAGCCCTTCAACCCTCAACACCACCAGAAAGAGAATATTATGCCTTATCCAGGTAGATTTAAAGATGCAGCTCATGCCAGCTATTTGTGTGTGTAAATAAATGTCTGTCCCATACCTGATTTACATTGGATTTTGAGTAGCTTTCTACTCCCCATCCCCGCTTTGGGGGAAACTCTAGACATGTAATTGTCTAAAGGAATTTTTTCCTGGAGCTCAAGGATGGGAGCCCATAGAACCAAACAATATAGGAATCCTATCCCCTCTCATTAGAAATAATGCTCTCCTAAGGCTAAAGTGAGTCTGATTGTACCTATGAGTCCAAAGTTAAAAGGTACCGTTAGCGAAGAGGAAGATAGCACAACATCCCAGCTACGTGAGCCCAGAGGTTGGTATTCACGTAGTTAGACATACGTGACCTCATTTGAGCTTCTGAACACCCCTGTGACATCAATGCTACATTTCCTATAGGGACATACCTGGTTCCCTAGCTTTTAGTATCTTCTTCCAGAATTACTTTGTATTGTGTGTGTGTGTGTGTGTGTGTGTGTGTGTGTGTGTGTGTGTGCGCGCGCATGTGTGTATGTGGGTAACAACTTTGCACAACTCTGCCTCACTTAAATCCAATTCACACACAAGCTAAGACATCACCCTCATGATGCTATTGGTCCTCTTTGAAAGTGAAGGACGAACAACAACCACACATTGGTGTACACAGATGCCTATTTTCTCCTCTAATCTAATGCAAGTCCCATGAGGACAGAGAGAGTTTTTTGTCTTTGTATCCCCAGAGCCTATCACGGTGGCTGGCACATAGTAGGGGCTTAATAAATACTTGTTGATTGCCTTTACAAGTGAGAGAAAATTGAGACTCAGCAAGGTTAGGTGACTTGCCTGTTGCTGCAAAACTAGTGCCAGAGGTGGGCTTCATCTTTGGTCTTATTGACACCAAGCCCAGCACTCTCTCCATTATACCATGCTTGTCCTTCTCCCCCTGCCCTTAGATTGTGAGCTTTTGGAGACCAGCATCTGTATCCTATCTTCATATACCATCTTCGTAACCCTAACCCTAATGCTAAATTTTCCCCTCCAGCTCTGCCAGAGTTCATTTTGGGAGAATCAGACCTGTGGTTTCACTGGCATTGAGAACTCCCTCGAGGAAGTTCCCTGTACCAATGCAGTCAGCACCCCATCTGCAACAAAGACTGAGAGGCTTGCCCAGTCCATACTGCCGGTATGTGTCAGAGGTGGGATTTGAACCCAGGTCTTCCTGACTCTCAGGCTACACTCTCTCCATTATACCATCCTGCCCCACTGCATTGAGCACAGTAGGTGCTTATTAAAAATCTTTTGTTGATTCTTCCCCAGAGCTTTCCCCTTCAGATGATACACTGATTGACAAGCAGGGGTGGAGAACCTACAGCATTGAGGCTACATGTGGCCCTCTAGGTCCTCCAGTGCAGCCCAAAGAAACAAATTTGTTCTGTGAAGTTTGGATTCAGTCAAAGGGCTGCACTTGAGGACCTAGAGGGCCAGATGTGGCCTTGAGACTGCAGATTCCCCACCCCTGGGCGAGGGATGTAGAGCAAGCATCCAAAAGACCCAAACGTCCTTTGTGTGGCTGGCTGCTGGAATGGGGGTAGGGGACACGCTGCAGGAAGCATCAGGTGAGGCTGACATTCAGCAGAGCCCTAGTTGTATAACACTTCTTCTAAAATATAATGGGATACCAGGAATCTGCACATTGACACGTGGCTCCTTGACCAATGTCAGCAGGGTAATTGATCTGTCTTACTCAGCATCAAATGGAAAGCCCTCTGATAGAAACCTGGAAGGCAGCCAGTGCCCAGCATCACAGCTGTATTAGCCACTGCCTAGCTGGGCTGGGCTTTGATGGGTGTAAAGGATTACACTCAGCTTGGATGTAGTGAATCTCAGAGGCACGGAATCTCAGAGTGGGGAAAAGAACTTCTGTACCTGTCCCGTAAGAGTCCTGAAGAGTTTGATCTACATCACACCCAACAAGTGGCAGAAGATCTGAGTTCAAATCCTACCTTGCATCCTCATTACTTATGAAACTTTGGACTAGTCATGTGACCTCTACAGGCCTCACTTTGCTTGACTGTAAAATGGGGTGGGGTGGAGGTGGAATAGGATAACCTCTGAGGTTCCTTTGCACTCTCGATCTAGAATCCTATAATCTCAGGTGAGGGGAAACCCACTTCTTCCTGAGGCAGTCCATTCCATTTTTGTATAACTGGAGTGGATATTGCCAAGAAAATGCCATGAACAATGTCCGTGGAGTCACACAGTCAGCCTGAGCAACCAAACAACAAAAATGGTTAGGACGTTTTTCCTGACGTTAAATCTTGATTTTCTCCGTTGCTGCTTTCGTCTGTTCTCTGTTCTCAGGGCTCCAATGTTTGAGTTGGTTTTCAGTCATATCCAACTCTTTGTGATCCCGTTTGGGGTTTCCTTGACAAAGACACTGGAGTCGTTTGCCGTTTTCTTCTCCAGCTCATTTTACAGATGGGCAAACAGAGATTAACAAGATTAAGTGACTTGCCCAGGGTCACACAGCTAGTAAGTGTCTGAGGTTGGACTTGAAGTCAGGTCTTTCTGACTGCAGGCCCAGCACTCTGTGCACTATGGCACCGCCCAGCTGCCCACAACAATAGCAAAACAACTATTAAGTGAGATATGTTTCTGTGCTATCTGGGAGTGTTTGCTAAAACTCATCCAAAGTCCTGGTGCAGAGGGCAGGACTGACATTGTCACCGGGCTGCTGGCAGTAGAGACAGGTGGACCTTTTACCGGAGAGCCCTTGGGCCCATGAGCCTGCAGCACTCCCAAGTACCACCTAGAACAGGTTAAAATGTAATCGTGAAATATTTAGTAAAATAAATAAAAATACAATAAAACACAGACATTGCATTTTAAAGCCAAGACGCCATGGGTTCTCAGGGATCCTTAAGTATGAATCAATGTGAGTTTAACACCACTGCTCACCGCTACTGCAGTCATAAGGAGCGTGGTCAGAGGCAGGTAGGTGGTCCAGTGGATAGAGCATGGCACCTGGATTCAGAAGACCTGAGTTCAAATCTACCTTCAGACACTGACCAGTTGTATGCCCTTGGGCAAGTCACTGAACTTCTCATATCTCAGTTTCCTCATGTGTAAAATATGGATAATAATACCATCTACCTCTAAGGGTCGTTGGTAAGGATCAAATGAGGTAATATTTGTAAATTGCTTAGCACCGTGCTGGGCACATAATAGGTGTTTAATAAATGCATCATCCCCCACCTACACAACACAATGAGATTCGTGGTATGACTGAATTAAGGAAGTAGCAAAGCAGGCTGTTGTTGAGTCAAGTATTTACTTAGCGTACAATGAATCTCAAAGTTTGAAGGGACCCCAGAAGTCATCTGGTTGCACTTATACCTCTATGGGAGTCACCTCTTCTACCACACCCCTAACAAGTGGAACAGAAGAATAGGTACTGGGTTCAAATCCTGCGTCTTGTGCTTCCGACCTGTATGACCTTGGACAAGCGTCTTTACTTCATTGGTCATCATTTTCCTCATCTACAAAATGAGAGAATTAGCTTGGATGGCCTCTGGCTCTCAATCTATTCTATAACTTAAGGAGTTGAAGTAGATCACCTTCAAGGTCTCTTGCAGACACAGATTTATGATTCTATGACTTCTCTAAGCCTCAGTTTCCCCATCTATAAAATTAGGGGTTGGACTAGAATCAGGAGTGGGGAACCTTTGGCCTCAAGATCCTCAGTGAGTGAATCCAGACTTCCCAGAACAAATCCCCTTAATAAAAGGATTTCTTCTGTAAAACTTGGACGCAGTCAAAAGGCAGCAGCCGAGGACCTAGAAGGACACAAGGCTGCAGGTTCCCCTCCCCTGGTAGATGAATGAGTCTGTGATCCTTTGCAATAATTCTGCCTCAAGGGGTCCCCAGCCACCAGGTTGAGAGGCACTACACTAGTTAATCTATTCAACCAATATTTATTGAATAATTTACTTCTGTCTATGTCAAGCTTCAAGGAAAATATGTGAAAACACACATGGAGATATAGGTCAAGGTGAAATTAAACAAGTCCATATGAATTCCAAGGGACATAAAGCAAGGCCATAAGAGCAGTGGGTGGGAGATAACAGAAGCCTTTTGCCAGCAGGACCAGGTCCCTGCTGGGGGCTTGGAGCATGGGTCTGGCACAAGAAGTCCTGGGCCTAAGCTGGCCTCTCTTGCCTCCTTCACGCTAAAGGACTGGATTGGATTCCTCATCAATGTGCCCCCGTCTGGCATTTCCACAAGAGAATAATTAGGTTGTGAGCTGATTTGAATCTACAAAACCATTCAACTGCTTCGGCCCCTTGTTTGACAGATGGAAGGAGACTCCATTTCATCCTTCAGAAACTCAGCTCTCATTCTCTACACAGACTAACCAAAATGACAATTTCTCCTCTGGCTTGGCTGCCTTTGGTCAATCCCCATAAGTCTGCTGAGCCAGGCTGTTTTCAGAAAAAGCATGTCTGCTATTCCATGCAAACAGTGCACAGTGCTATGACAATATAACTGGGCCAGGTGGGCAAGGGAGATTGGAGCCTTTGTTTTCTTTTGGGGGCTGCAGGAAATGTCCCAGGGGGAGGTGCGGTGCTCTAGGTCTTTGCAAAGAGAGTACTATCTAATCCCTTTCTGCCAGGACTCAGAGCTCACACGCAATTCAAAGAAATGTATAATGCTGCAGAAAGAGGTGTTAGATTAGCCCAGTAAAAGAAATCAGAGCCACAAAAGCTTAGAGACAGAAGGGATCTCCCTAGGTCATCTAGTCCAACCTGTAACCTCTACAGCATCCCAACAATCAGTCATTTGTGGAGCTGGAACGAGGCTTGGGCAGCCAGGGCTTTGTGCCAGGGCACCAAAATAGAGGGGGGGGGTGCACTTCCTCCCTGCTTTGTTCCTGGCGTCCTCCTTACTTGCTACACAAACGCGCGCGTGCACACACACACACACACCACACAGACACATCCCCCTCCTAGATTTGGGGACCATCAGCTCTGCCATGTGAGTGTGAGCCACACTGTCTGGAAAACAGGTAACTATGACATCAAGAGTGGTGCAGCTTCTGTGATGTTTGGCCAATCTCCCTTCAAGTGAATTGGCCCTGGGGGTAGGATTTGCTACAATTACAATTACAATTCTGATCATCCAGGGCCCACTCAAAGACACCCACTAAAGGGAAGCCCACTATCTCCCAAGGCAAATCCATTCAACTTTTAATTGTCTTTAATGAGTAGGAAATTTTTCCTTATTACTACAAATTAGCAGGCACGGATACTAGTGTGCTCAGCCGGTTCTGTAGACGGGTATGTGAGTGAATAATAATAGGTAATTACATATGCCGACACCTGACGATCAGTCAACACACATTTTTAAACAACTGCTGTGTGCTGGGCATTGTGATAGTTGCTCTGGATACAAAGACAAAGACTGAAGCTATCCCTACCGTCAAGGAGCTTACATTCTACTGAGGGAGACAATATGTGCACATATGATTATGTGCCTTCTACATGCCAGATATCATTCAAAGTGCTAGAGATACAAAGACAAAGATGAAATGGTCCTTGCCCTCATGGGAGTTTACATTCTGCTGGGGAAATGACTTGATTTCATGACATAAATTATCCATTACATATAACATCTCTCTGTCTCCCTGTCTCTTTGTCTCTGTCTCTGTCTTTATCTCTCTCTCTCTCTGTATCTTGTTTTTATATCATCTAGATTTCCCCCTATATCCCTCACTAGCCCCTTCCACAGAGTCATCTATTATAAAAAGAATTTTTTTAAAAATAAAAAAGAGGAAGAAAAAATAGATCACTACATCAATAAAAAGGCATTATATGTAATGTTTCATACCCATGGCCAACCCATCTCTGCAAGCAAGTGGGAGGGGTGTCTTTTAGATCTCTTCTTTGGGACCAAATTATTTAGAATTTCTCAGGATTCATTTTTTACTTGATTTCATGGAGGTCATTCTTTCCATTTACATTGTTGTAATCATAGCTCTTTCCTGAGCTGCCTTCGCTTCTCCCTCTGCTATTTTGCTTGGTGATCTGATTGGCTTCCACGGATTCAGTTATCATCTCTATATATATGATTCTTAGATCAATTTGTCCAGCCCAGACCTGCCTCCTATCTCTAATCCTATATTTC